CTGGCGTTGTGGGGGGGGGGGGGTGAATAGGGGTGAGTGCCCTGGGCCCTGCACTTTGGGGGGCCACGCAGAGGTGGGCGGAGCAGTGCCTCCGCATCCAGCCACTTGCTACCCCCCCCATCACCGCTGCTGATGGCGATGGCAGCTTCTTTGGCTCTGGGATCAGAGAGAGAGCGGGGTTCTGCATGGGCTGATTTGCCCCAGGGCCCACACCCTGCTCAGGTTGCCTCTGCTGGCAGCTGCAGCCCATCTCCGGATGGCCTGGCTTTGCTTTTTAGCAGTGAATGCAGCCCAAGCATGCTCTGCTCTGGTTTTTCTTTTCGTGGTTATTTTTTGACCGGTGGATATCCGGGGATCAAAAATACCCACAGGAAAAAAAAAGAGAGCAATGTGTACTCGGGCAGTGTGGCCTTGCAGTGCAGAGAACACCAGACTGTGGTATGCAGTGCTGAAAACATGTTTGTGGTGCCACATACCACAAAACCATGCTTGTCTGGACATGCCCTATGAGGGTGGTCAAGCATTTCAGTTGGCTACCTAGAGAAGTTGTGGAATCCTCAAACATTTACAAGAGCAAGTTAAACAGATATTTAGTTGGGGTGGTTTAAAACAGGGTAGATGCGCACCTTATAGACTTTTGTGTGTGGCATTCAGCAGATTGGGGAGGGGACAGGCAGCACAGTGGCAGTAAGACAGGGAGCAGAAAGCAGAACATCAGGTCAGGCAGGAACCACAGGGTAGGATGCAGAACGCAAAAGAGTACCTTGGTCAGGGTGTACAGAGCAGGGAGCAGACATGTGAGCAGTAGATCCGATATGGAAAGGTATCAGAGTGACTGTTGGGGAAGGCGTGGGGCTAATTTGTTGCAACTCTGCCAGAAAGTTTGCCCCCCCACCCCCATTATAACCTAAATCAGAGATGTATACACTTTTGTAAGCAACGGCTTGCTTCATCAGATGGTGTGAAGGGACTGCAAGAAGCAGAACTTCTAAATTAAAAGCAGTATTTAGTATACACTGGGTGTGTCTAAACAAGATGCTTTACTGCACAGTAGACTGATCTACTGCATAATAAAGCGTCAGTGTCTACATGTGCGCACCATTTACTGCGAGGAAATTAGTCAGTTGCGCAGTTAGCTACTACCTATAAATACAGGTAGCAAAGTAACCATGCAGTAAATACTGTGCGGTAACACATGTAGACGCTGCCTGGGAGAACATTTGCTCCTGGTCACCCTAACACCAGGAGGCCACAGGGAATGGTGAACTCCCCCAGACCTGATGCTGTTCAGCTCCCAGCTCCTCCTAGTAGTGCCTAGATGTGGTAGCTCTCTGCCTCCCCACCTCTCCCCCAGGAGCTGGAAGCTGAGCAGCACCAAGACCATAGGCAACTGGTAGGGGGTGCACAGGGGAGCATGTGCCCCCCGCGACAGGGCTGTGCCCTCCCTGATGGCCAACGCTGATGCCGTCAGCAGGGCTGGTGCCCCCCTTGACAGGGCCACCGCTGCCATCAGCAGCTTCTGCGTGTGCTCACCGGCCCTGTCCCCGCCACCAATGCTGCTAGTGGTTTCTGTGGGTCCTCCCCAGCCCTGCCCCCACCCAAAGCAGGGTAGAAGTAGATTGGTTCCCAACGAGGGGCATGTGTAGATGTGCTCCCAAGGAAGGCTTACTGCACAGTATTGTACTGTGCAGTAAGTCTTAATAGCACATGTAGACGTGCCCAAAGAGTAGGAAAGGGGGAGGAAAGAGGAGGGCAGGATTAGGTGAATGAATCTCAGATGTTATAATCCATATTATTTTGGTCTAGTAATGATGTGGTCTGGATTGCTGAGGGAGGACAGCTGGCATTTGAATCTGCTGCCTTGATGAAAATAGGAATTAGATAGTTGTTTGCTGGAGACATGCCATTTGAAGTTGCAGGGGGGCGTTTGTAATCTAACAGATATTTGACTCCCATGGCTACCTTGAATGATTGTCATTTTCCAGGAGGAGTCGGGGGTCATTAATAATGTGTCTGAAGTGTTCAGGTTGAGACCTGTGGGTGACAAACAGAGGGATTCTGTTGTCTTCGTCCCAGGGTTGTTGGTATTGTAGCAGGTTTAGAGTGGGGTCTGAGTCTGGCTCTGTTAATTTGAGTTGGCTATGGCTTTAGAATTGTATTGCAAGTGTAGGAAACCTTGCTTCAGATCCTTAGGCGTGCATCCTGGTCAGTGGGATCAGAGAAAATATGGCTGTAATGTAGAGCTTAGCTGTAGAGGATGGTTTTAGTGATATGTTTAGGTAAAACTAGCTGCTGTGGAGGTCACTGTAGTAGTTGATTGTTTTTCAATACAATGTGGTGGTGATGTCGCCATTGGAAACTTTTGCCGTGCTTTCTAAAAAATGAATTTGTTGGTTGGAGTATTCGAGAGTCAGTTTGGAGATGTGGAAGTTAAGTCATGGTGGAATTTCTCTAGAGTATTTAAAATTTCTTTCTGTAAAATTGGGATTTTTTTCTAAGCAAGTTATCTGGGTTCCTGGGAGGTGAAGTATTAATGTCATCATTATATGGACACATAAGAAGGAATCTGTAGAATCTCTTCTGTTGCAAAGTACTCAGAGGGCACCTATATGCACAAAGAAGCTGCTCTGAGGCACTGGAATTCCAGCGCCTGAGAACAGACTCAATCGAGTCTGTGGAAGTGTGGCAATTACCAGACATGACAGTGATTTAATTAGAGCAACTCTTAGAGCCACTCTAATTAAAGTGCCACTGTCCCACCCCTGGGCCATGTGTGAAAGTGCCCAGAAAAACCACAACAGATCAGAATGTTTTTAATACTATGGGTCCCTATTTAAAATCCCTAGGTTTATTTTATGAATTATATCTGCATACCTGACAATGCCAGCATTGCATGGCATGCTAGGTTACCCTTGAAAGGAGCTCAGAGCACTCCAGAGTTCTGCATCACACTCGTTGAGAATCACTGAGTTAGTCTGTTGGATGCATACCTACCCTGCCTTCCACCTGATTTCAGACTAACATGGATAGCTACCTCTTCCTGTGATGGTTTAGACAGGGATGATACTGTTGGAGTAGATGACCTCATGAGGTCCCTTCCAGGCCAA